TCTTCCAACATTTTTTTATCAGGAAATCTTTAATGGGATACTTTTTTTCTCATTCACATTTGAAAACCTCCTAGAAGCTCTCAAAAGCGTTTATTTTCGGTGCGAATATTTGGAATAAATTGGAGAAGACGTTAAAAGCTCCATTGAAACGCCATGGGCATTCTTAAAAGGGATGAATATGCAAACATCACTGCAGTTCACAAAAATGCATACAAATAGGTAGGATACATGATTGGCTGACACGGTGAGGCGTTTGTGAATAGAGCAGCGTTGGACACTTTCACTGCATCTCTGCTATGGCATGATCAACTGAGTAAAAAATTATGTTCAATATAAATTATATTGAAATCAAGGAAGTAGTATGTTTTATTCGCATGTGTTACAGGTTAGGAGTTTGAATGTTTGATTTGCGTTTAGAAGGTGATTATCCGGACGTCTCATCGACACGCTGACGGCGGGGAGTGCACATCCAACACTCACAAATAGTTTAACTATATAACTATTCTTCGAGAGAAGAAGGATGAACGTGGATTTGTGGGGTTCACTTCCTTCTTCAACTTGCAATCATGTCTTCTGGGGATCCTCTATGGAGCTGTTTGAAAGAAATCTTCCCCACTGACACACATATCATTTCCCCTTATTAAGTGAACCATTGCTATAAGCTCCCTTCTGTCTGGTCTATAATGGAAAGTCAACCGTTTAAGTCCACGGAACGCCGTTGCAGCACGTCGTGGGAAACCTCGAAGCATGCCTATGTCTTTCGTGAATAACAGGCACCGGCCCTTACTGCCTATTCCAGCTATGGTCGCACGAGTACTCCATTTACCTATCCGAAAATCTGTGCATTCTTTTTATGGCGCATAACACTGATAGTTCTCTTGCTACTGTATTTACCTCCCTACATAATAACTCGTCAACCATGTGCATCCAATCGTCAAATTTCATTGCATCAAAGTTACCCCGCAAGATATATTTCTTAACGGGTGTAAGATTTGTTCAGGACAGCTACGGGTATCGATTAGCACATTAATCAAATATTATCAGAAGGTCCTAGATGTGGGCCCAGATCGTTTTTTTATCAAATACTTTCGTAAATTTTCGTAAACTTGTCCTCATTTTTTTAATTATTCCGAGGAGTGTATATACTGTGAATGGCAGGGCGCTCACATATCTTATTACGGAAAATATTTGCCCAGTTCTGCCTTAAGGCTTAATCTTGAACCCTCGCAACCAATCATATATTGACTTTTATAAGTTGAAACCGACAGAAAAAAAACAAGTCCATGGTGCAATGGCAGTCAACAACCAAAGGTCCCGGGTTCGAATCTTGAAGTTGCTACCATCTGGGATTGACTGCAACTGGCTGCTGATAGCTAATAAGCCAGATATGGCCATTCTGGTCTCCCCTGAGTTTTTGATTCTAATAATGCAGGGTGTTTCCGTATTGCACTACGTGTATGAAAATCCAAATTACCATATCGGAATCTAAGAACAGGTCATATTTTCCCATATTTTGAAAACAGTCCTGTGCACTCAAAAGCGTTGGCAGCTATCCCTGCCTCAATTCGGTAACAGGCCGAGGCAAGCAAGTTTTCATTCTAGAATCTATCTCTCCATTGTTAGGTTGATCGCTAAAAGACAATCACGCCAACGTAAGAAATTAAAATGTTTAATCACACTGATTAACCACCATCTTAGTATACGAAATTATAACATGCTACAATCAAGATCAATGACGTAATAAAAAATTACCAAATGAAAACTATTAAGTTGCAGAGGAAGAGAGCAAAAAGTAATTCAACTCACAGTATTCGTAAATCCGCCACGGTTATTTTTGCCTTTTCGATCAACGCTATTTGAAGGTAAATATCAAAGGACAGTTCGACGTGCTGATTGGGCTTATCAAGGTCGCACAATCTGTCGACCAGCCAGTCAGAATCAGGTAGAATACTACTACATGACGCAGTCGCGTGGACAATAGCGCTAAACGCGTGAGGTGTGTAAATCGGTTGATGTCGCGCTGGATTCAGTATGTTACACCCGGTGATTATAACAATGCTAGGACAATTTTAGTGCGAGAAATCCAGAAGAGACCTACAGCACCTGCGTTTATGTAAGTTGGGCGCGATGGGATTGTGGCCGCTAAATTGAACAGGAGGGGGGCACCCGTGTTGGAAAAATTAATAGTCTTCATGGTAGTGCTAAAAAGAATTCAGACGGGAAGCACATCTTGTTTGAGCCTTTACTTTAGGGAGGGCTGTTTCTAGGTCAACCGGCCATAACCCAGATATCACTAAATATTGAGGCTGCCCTGACACACGATCGAGAGTGAACCTGGATAAAACTGGATATTTCCAATCAGATAAAAATCTTACCATTCAATGTTGACGACTTTGCAAAAACAATGTGACAAGTCATAAACTATCGCACTTACCTTTCTATCCAGGGACAAAATTGAAGATAAGTTACCATGGAGAAAAACTAGAAGAAAATGTAAAGTTCTCACCGACCTGCGCTACAGCTGGTTTACGCTTCATGATCCCAATTGAATTTATATTTAATAGATAACACATCTGAGAAAACCTGTATGTTCAGCAAGAAAATATTATTAGATTGGGAGAGTACTAAATAATCAAGTTACTACAAAAAACGATTGACTACTGTGCATTTTGTCAAAATCCTGCATTTGGAAACCGGTAGGAATTTAGAAAAGTTTAGTCCGAGTAAATTAGATTCCCGAGGAAAGTAATTTTTTCAAATGCCATGTCGGGAGGCTGTTGGCAATTCAACTTCTCGTTCAGAAGACATCAATCCAAAACATGGAACTCTTTCCTGCAGACACAATTTAACCTATGTAGGGTCAACGCGAGCACTTTGGGTTCTTAATGTTACCAAATGCCCTATTCGGCAGTTTCCTATCACTTGCTGTCCTACAAGCGCATCCATTCTCCTCAGTTCACTTTACGCTCTGCGCAAGTGGTTAATTACCTTGAGTTGACTTAAACCGTAGTTTGCTTATGAACCTGGTTGCTTATATTGTTTCATGCGGCCATGATACTACTTGTCAATGTTTGCATGTATAATACCCGCTGCTCCAGAAGACAACCCATCTAGGGTTACGTAGGTAGTGACGCGGCTTGAAATTAAGGTTGCGCGAGAAATAATGGAGGCCATGATATCCAACGCCCTCAGCATGCATGTTTGGACACCCGCTGCTATTAAGCCCCTCTTTCGCGTGGTTAATATGCGTGGATCAGTCCTGACTCATGGTCGCCCGACAAGAAGGCGCCGAATAACGGCGTAGATAAAACATTAGTAACAATATAATTCCCCTTTAAGATGACTGCCTAGCACCCATTTTGAAATATTTTATAAAAAACAGTGTAGTTTGACATAGTTCACTAACTACTTATTTTGTTGTAGTCGTCCCGTTCTCTTTCGTAGCTACTCAACGCTTAACATTCTATTACATTCCCACATTGATATATTTAGCACGCTGTGGTTACGTTAAGATAAGTAAAGTTTTAGTTTGTTTGAGCTAACGTTTGTTGTACTTTCCTTTTCAGATGAGTTCATTGGGTTTATTGTATTTTAATTATTTAAAATAACTTTTATTTTATTTTTAAAACAGGACTGTCTTAAAAGGTCCTTTTGCCTTTTCACATAAAATAATAACCCACCTTTACATTTTAATCAATCCGAAGTTCCCTTTTCCGATAAGTTCCGCCAATATAAGTTCGAATTTCCCTTCTTATTTAAATTCCGCTCATCTGAGCTTTCCATTCACTCAGTTGGCGTCATTTTTCTGAGCAATAGGAGTTTAAGTTGATTGATTAGTTTCTACTACTACCTTTAAGCAAATATTGGTTTCTTGATTTAAAAAGTTTTGATCACTTCCACTCCAATTAAACATTTACTTGCACTGACTATCCAATAATTAAATAAGTGATCACAAAATAAGTTCAAAAGTTTGGCGAGGACATATATATTTAGATGGTCCTAATATACGGTCTCGCCTATTTTCATTCAAATAAGGTTTGCTTTTTTAGTTTATGAGTTGATTCTCAGTTGGTCGAAATACAATCTGTCAAAAAGCGTTTTAAGCCTTACCAAATGAGAAAAGGCCCACTTTTCCTAGTCCATTTTTATCATGTACATTTCGATTAGCATCTATATAGGATTATATCAAATTCGCGCGTATTATTTATGCAGTCCTTGTTTCTCATTTTTAATGTGACGAACTGTTTTGTTGCCAAAAAGTGGTAGTTCAATTATTGTTCCTAGGACATCCTAATTTATACATTACTATTCTTATCATTTTTTGTTTTGCCTGATAAACCCCAATGCCGCCGGTCCCGTATTAGATGATGGGACATTTTTTGTTACATTTGTGTTTCTCATAAAATCCCCTTTCGAATTGTATCCAAGAGAACTATAGTGCGGACATAAGTTTTGGAAAACAAACGTTGCACAGCTTCTCTAAAACCTCCATAATGCCGAAATGGAACGATAGACGTAATGCATTTGCACAATCCAATACTTCCGAACACCTTCTTCAAACTGACCATTTCTCTCAAGTAAATCCAATCTCAATTTTCCAAATTATAAATGCTCGACAGTTAATTTCACCATGAACACCGACGAACTCGACTACAGAGGAGGAAAAATTTATGAGGTTGTGAACAATCTTAAGCACCAGTAGAGCAAACATAGTGTTTGCCGGTTAATAATTGCAGATAGTCAACAGACAGACTGCTTTCATTGTGACATTCCTATTGTTGGTTCGAACATTCGCAGAAGAAGATGGGTGTCTGTCTGTTTATTTAGCGATGGCGTGCCGACGACG